ATGCTTTTTGAGGTGAATTCTCTGAACTGAGAGATCTTTGAGATATGTGCCTGTTCAAATGCAAAGTAAACTATGTTATTTGTGGAGTAAACTGTATATACATGGAAGGGATTCATAATTTCTAAATCATTTCAGTAGCGATGTCTCCTTTAGCAAACATGGGAAAGAAAAGATCTGAAAGTCCAGGTCTAAGGTTTTTAGCTTGTTTGTGCTTTATAAGACTCCTGGTGCTTTACGACTAAAGGGAAGCCAGAAAAAAGCAAAGCTGGACTGAAGTTTTGAAGCCTTAGACTGAGCCTCCAAGGCTCCTGGCTATTGTGAAGAAATTTGGATTCCCTAAAAACTGTAGCTAAAGTGATGATTTTGATGGTGATTTGGACCCTGGTGAGGCCACATCTGGAGTATTGTGTCCAGTTATGGGCCCCCCAGTACAAGACAGATGTGGATCTACTGGAGAGAGTCCAGCACAGGGCTACAAGGACGATCAGGGGCCTGGAACATCTGCCCTATGAGGAGAGGCTGAGGGAGCTGGGCCTGTTCAGCCTTAAGAAGAAAAGGCTGAGAGGGGACCTGCTCAGTGTGTATAAACACTCTTTTCAGTGGTGGCCAGCGATAGGACAAGAGGAAATGGCCACAGACTGAAACACCAAAAGTTCCACAGGAACTTAAGGAAAAGTGAGGGTGACAGAGCTCTGGAACAGGTTGAGAAGAAGGGTTGTGGAATCTCCTTCTCTGGAGATCTTCAAAGGCCACTTGGATGCAATCCTGTGCCATGTGCTCTATGTGACCTTGTATGTGCAGGGGGTTTGGACTAGATGATTTCTAGAGGTCCTTTCCAACCTTAATGATTCTATGACTCTATGGACATCACAGAATCATAGAATCATTAAGCTTAGAAGGAACCTTTAGAGATCATCTAGTCCAACCCCCCCTGCACACGCAGTGTCACCTAAACTGGGTGAACAAAGCCCCTGCATTTTGACTTGCAGGAACATCTGGCAGCTTGGTCTCATCTCAGTCCTATGACAAGACCTGTCCTGGAATCTATATACCGTAAAAGTCTGAAGTCTCCAGCAAGCTAACAACAAAAACAAAAAGATATGGCCCTGCTGAAAACCTGCCTTGTGTTTTCAAGAGTTATTGGCCGTATTTTCTGTTGGAAAATTTATATAGCCATAAAGGTCATATGGGTCAAATTCTGCCCTTTATCTACAGCGCTGCAGTAATTGCTCATGCTCGTCTGGCTGCCTGGATCCTCCTCGCTGCTACTGCCTTGCACAGTGCGATGCTCGGGGTTTTAGCATGACCCACATGTTTGCTCCTAGATACAGGAGCTTAGGATTGGCACATGCTTCAGACGAGTCAAAGCTGCCACACGGCTCAGGACAGTTTCTGTAATTGGCCTGGCTCCAGCATTATTTATCACTCTGTAATTTTCATGTTATCTACATATTTCAGTAGCATATAATCTTCCAGACTTCTAGTGAAGATATTCTGTGTTATATGACCAGAACATATTTCTGTGGGAATAGGTTTTCATTAAGTAGATTTTTATATTTTATTTTTCTTTTGTAAAGAAAATATTTTTTATACAAAGTTTCATTTGCTATTGACAATTACTTTTGGGAAAATATTTGTTAAAATTATAAGTGTTTATTAGAAACTGTTTATTTTACTATCAGAACATTAACTAAGATAAAGTGCCATGTGTAGGAGGTGTCTTAAGGATATATTGTTGTAATGTAGTTACCTTTATTAGCAAACTTTAAAATACCATTGAAGAGCAGTTTCAAGTACTTTTCACTATAGGTTTTCCATAAGAAATTGTTGACTTGGTGCTAATTACGCCATTGCCTTATATACCATACCAGCCTGTCTATGATTTTACTGGGGATCAGTGTTAGGAAGATTAACTCACTCAGCCACACCATCTTCTCGGTACTTAGTAAAGAGAATTTTTATGATGCAATTATATCAATATTTTCTTGATATTTAATAAAGCATTTTAAAGCTTTTCCTTATCATGACCATCTTTTTATCCTAAAAGATCTGATTCTACCCAGTTCTGTTCCTCATCACTTCCAACTTTAATATAGTTATCCTGTTTGTGTGTGTGTGTGAGCATATTATTTTTCTGGATCAGATTCCGTACATAACAAATAGAATTAAGTCTTAATTGTAACCCAGGTGACAAAACATGGCTCTTTTTTTTTTCATTTTTATGCAGGAAAATGAGATTTACTGTAGAAATTCCATCATTTGGTTAAATTATTTCTTTATAGTAGAAAGTTATCAACTCTAATTTTTATAAAAATCAAGGATACTTCTGCAGTTATAGCATTAATTCACCACCCCACAAGAATTCCAAAGCAGCTCAGATTTTCTTTCTTTTTTTTTTTTTTTTTCAAATCAATGTTAAAGAAACTCCTCAACCTGTTCTCTGTGTCCCATGTAGTCTATAAAATTCCTTTTTTTGTGGGGGTGGAGGAGTTAAGGACTTCTTAGTTTTCCATTTCTAAGCTTTCTCTTGTAGGCAACTTAAAGATTTCCACTCTTCTTACCCTGATGACTTTCTCTTTACTTTCTTATATTTTAGACATCCCATCTTAGACGTCAGTGCAAAACTAATTCTAGCCAACCTGTCCACATATTCTGCTTTGTAAAGGTGACTGGATATTCTGCAGAACTATGCTGTACATGCCGTGACTAAAATAGGAGTACTGAGATGAACTCTGTGAGTCATTAGACCCCACATTTCCTCTTTCTCTTTGTGAAAATTCTGAGGAAGAGTTTCCTTGACCCTTGGGAGCGGAACTTTCTTCCATGTCCATACAAATGCCAGGAGCGCATCCGGGTCCTGCTGTCATAGGCCAGCAGATAACTGTCCCCTCACGGATGTCATGCAGAATTTCAGGAAATTGTCTGCTCTCAGGATCAAACATCAAATACATGGAGGCTGAAAATTTGCTATGACAAACAAATTCTTGAAGATCAGTGAGTGAACATATAAACAAACTCAAAGCAAGATTCAGTAGCCTAAACATAGGCACGTAGCATCGTTTGAAGTATCACAGAGCATGCAGGACATGTGTTGCCATATACAGCAAGGTTTCTAGGTCACAGCTCACTGCTGA